TACGTCTACAGTAATTTCATCCATGACTGAAATCAAATCAAACACTTTATAAAGTACCTCTGTACTTTGTCTGATGGCCACAACACAAAGTCGTCCTTATCTATCAAAACCTATGTATAACTACTAAAGGATCAAAACTAATACCATTGAGAGCATTCTAGACATAAAGATGGCCAAAAAGTACCCATTATGTAAAAAGTGAAATAAAATCTAGCTCATATTGGGACACTTAACACTTGCATAGTTTGATTTTCTTTACACGAATATTTGTCAAACAACCTTTTGAACCTCTAATTTATCTGTATCTTATTTTGCTTTATAGATGTTTCTTCAAAATTAAGCTTAAATAGGGATATGTAATTTTGATATTAAAATTCAATTAAAGCTATCTACCATTCTACTTGTCAGTGTTGATGCCTGTAAACACCTGTTGTTGAGTGAGGTGTAACACAGGTGGTTACATATGATTCACATGATGAGGTGATCTTTTCCATTTTATGTTGGTCTTCTTCTCTACATGTTGAGGTGCTCTCAATGACCCCAACTTGTATACTTATCCTTAAATCTAAACATTTTCTCCCAGCTATTAACAATCACAGATTGAGACAGATGTTCAATAGAGTAGTCACTCAGGATTGACGATCAATTATGATAAAAATAGGTATGAAAAGACATATTGTGACAATTGATTATGAAAATCTTCTAATTGTGATTAGCTGTACATCCCTCTGTCAGTCTAAACATTACTATTGCCTTCCTTTTACTGATATTTTCTAATATTTACATTAATAGTTTCAATGAAAACACTATCAATTTGGAGATTAGATAATCATTTTGTTTTCTTGGATTCAGCAAAACTTTGAAAAGTATTGTATAGTTTACTTGGAGCTTGAATCAGTGTCAATCTATACTTGTAAAATTACCCACTCAGTGCAGTATTTTATCAAGGAAATAGACAAACGCACCACAAACGATTTAGGAAACATGTTTGACCCCCTACAGAAATGTTTTAGTATTAGAAGTAAAATTGTCCTTATTCTGATCTAGAGATGTAAAGAAATCAAGATCCTAGAACATTTACCAATCTATATACAAGGTAACTTTTGATAGAACTGTCAAGATGTAACGGGAGGTAAAGACAACATCAGTTCTGAGTGTGTTGGTTAATCAGCGGGGTGCCCTATGTTTGGTATGGATACCAAAAGGTATGCAGGACAACAAAATGAAATATGAAAATTACTCCAAGTACTTTTAATCACAACACACCCAAGCATCACCAGTAAATTGGCTATTTATTGGTTCACTAGTTTCGCCTCCATATGTGAGGATTCATCAGGACCAGCACTTATATCTTACTACAAGTGGCAATTAACAGTCCTTAAGATGTTCTCTATCAACCTTATACAGTTAAACTTTGTGAATATATATGCATGATGCATTGGAAATCTAATTCATCTGCGTATACTCTACCTGATCAGTACAGCAAAATCATTGGTAAGTTAATACTAGTTGAGGAAACTTTTGGAAGGAAAAGTAAAAAAAATAGTTATCTAAAATTGTTTACATACTGATTAACTAATTTAAAACTAATATTGAATATTAAAATCAACTGCAAAAAATCCAGTAAATAAGAACTGACAAAATGAGTTTGTCTCAACTGTACATCCTTGAAACTCCAGAGGTTACGATCACTTTCCTTTTCTGCATCACTTAAACATGTCATGGCAAAAATTAAGGCACAAAGCAATTTGATTGGTTCCAGGAGAAAAAAACTGACCAATCACAGATTGATATGCTCCATTTAAACTTCAATGTCAACGATATACAGTTATGCAACCTTGAAATTCATTTGATGTACATCAAAAGATTAAACAAGCGTTTTCGTCCTGTCAACAAGGAGTCTGTCGCACATGAATCCTTCAATTTTGCCATGACATCCAGGGGTGCAGAGAGTGAAAGTAATTGTAAATCAAGATGCTCACCTATATTGTTCAATGTATTTTATCTCAATGCGAAGTATGTTTATTTAATGTTTGGCGACTGAAATATGATTTATGTGGAATGTATGGGCTAGCAGTAACCTACAGACACTCAGATATTATCCAAACAAACATCTGGATTTTGGATTTTTTAAATTGTTGATATTGTACTTGTTCATGTGAAGCAAAATATGTTTGATTTGTTCTGGAATCCTAAATAAAACATAGCATATCTGCTACGAGAACCAAAATAATGTGGTACGATACCATACCATCGCAATTCAATACCTCATGTAATTTTTAACCTGTTTATTCATATGTTAATACAGCATATCCTGTTGTAACAATGAAATGATAGTTGATATTCCCTTTACAAAATCAATACCACCTAAAGTAACAAGGGATTTATCAGGTGTTTATAGAGTCTGGAATTCTACACCATTCCTTAATGAAACTAGCACCTGTCTTTAAAATTTTAATCAGAAGTAAATTAAATCTGATACATCATTACACATAAACTTGGCAAATCCTTAGTCCAACATAAAGCTTTTCTGGCTATTAAAGATAGCTTCTCTTTTGCTGAATAGGTATTATTGTGATGAAGGAAGAGTCATTACTCTTCTTTGTATCTTGTGCAATGGAGTTTAAAAAAACTTCAATCTCATTAATATACTGCGAGATTTTGAGAAGGAAATGAAAGAAAAAAATCTTTTTAATTTTATTTCAACTTCTACAAATATTTTCATAATGAAAATCCCCAATGCTAACAGACAGTAAAGTTTAAATCACATAAACTGAAAAAAAAAAACACTTAATCAAACATTTGTCACTTCATTATTTTCCTCAATTAATTGGATACAGGTGAAAATGATACATTGATAATACTGAGATTAAAGAACAGCACTGGCTAAGAATTTGACAATTGCCACCTTGCTTGGTTGTTGAAAGGTTTACTCCAATGACATGTCTGAAATCATATCCATTTCAAAAGAGTTCATAATCATGATCATGTTGAATACAAGATTAGTAGACCAGAGTTTCCAGGTTTGATCCCTAGTAAAGGCAAACAAATAATTACAATGGCGCCTGTTTAGGAACACATGCCACTGACGTATTTATGCTCAAGTAGTGATCTATTTGTAATACATGATATTTTGATTCAGATCAATACACTCATAGACAAATTTGTCTACAGTTTTATCAAATAAAATAGGAATAATGTGTATTTTGTATACAAATGAATTGCTTCAGCATACTGGACATGTGATTGTCATGGTCCCCTTGACTTTCCCACATTATAAGTTATTGACATAATGAAAGTCTGGTAACAAAACTAGCAAATGATGATGATTATCTAAATAACTGAATATCACATTACAATATTCTATAGAGCCTGACTGCAGTTTAATTATAGTTCTTAGAAATTGATTTAAAAGTGAAAAGAGCTGGAGGTATGTTTTGCTGCCATTATGACTAAGTCGTCAATAAAATGAATCAATTCAAGACATCATGATCAATATAAATAAGAATTTGTGCTAATATTAGTTGTTACAAAATGCAATTGTCCAATAATATTATCTTGTTTTTTTTTTCATCTCTATTTCTGTCTTTAAGTTCAGGTTGGACTATTATAGTGGTATCACTTTTCATTAATGCAGCCTAAAACGGTTTGCTTGGTTATTACGGTGACTGTGTCACCAACTCATCTCATTTTGTCAAGTAAACCTATGATGTCCAAATCATGACCTTTTCAAATCGTAAAAAAAAAAAAATGCTGGAACCACTTGAGCCAAGCTCTTCATGTGCTGAAGGCATCCAAGCAAAGCCATGTACCGGTAACATGTACCAAATATTTGTCTTTACAACATGTAGTGATGAAACAATAAAAAATTCTTCTGGAATGATATGGGACATAGGTGTTCCACAGAACATGAGGCTATTGTTACTGAAAAATTTCATGACAGCATTTTCACATTCCTGAATTCATTTGATTTTATTTTTTATATGAATGAAATTGGCATGAATTAAAATTTCTTTTTTCCTCTAAGTACCTTACATATAAGGGTCAACCAATATCATGTCAACATATACGCACTCACACACAAAACATCCCAATAATTAATCAACCACAAGCTGTAGTATGCCAAATTCTCTTCATTTCTTAAAGCACTAACCAGTTAATGGAAACTAAAATTTATCAGTGTTTCATAATCTAGATAATTCCAATTGCGAATGCCATCATGGCATGTAAATTTTGCTCTTTCCAGTCACTGACTGACTCCTTTTATATCTTTTACTTTTGATCAGTAGGTAAAAATTGAAATTTTGGATCTAATATATTCAAACTAATGTTGAACATTGTCTAAATGCCAAGAAATGTGACCACTTTACAATAGCATTGATTTCGAGGCCTTTTTGCTTAATTACCTTATAAAACACCCTGTACCCCCTGCTTTTTCATTTTGAAAGCCATAGTCTGGATTTATTTGACAAGAGGTTGATGACACTGTTATTATTATTTTATTATTTTGTAAAACTGAATATCTTAATAAGCAGGTTTTACTATACTCTGTACTAAAACACTAGCCCTAGCTTAACATCTGTCCATAAGGCAATCTTAATATATGAAATACTGTTTAACTCCTGAGAAAATCGTGGAACACATAAGCATTTTCAAGTCACTAATTTATAAAAAGAAATCCAGGAGTTGTTCTCTCCTACATTACTTTTAGTAAGCGAAAGAGAGGGAGAGAACACTCATCCTTTGAATGCGGTGATCCAGTAGCAAAATTGAAGCTTTTCTTGTGGCACAGTTTCTATTCTTTATCTGTGTGGTCGTGGTGAAATGCTAAACAAGTATGTAGAATGTAAGGCTAGTGACCGTAGAGTGCACAATGAACACTGAACAAGCTTACATGACGGAGACGCCACACTGCTGACAAAATAAAACTGAAAACACCTAGAGTTTTCACTTAGACCAGGGTCTCGACAACCTTATACACATGAAAGATAGATACTTACCCATTCATTAGCTACAGAGCTGAATGAATAAAGGGCTACTTGTGATGCTGTATCGAGAATTTCTGTAATATACGGATCTCTCTGCTGCAGAGCAGCAAGATTCATCCGGCCTTCCGCCATATTCCAGAAATCGAATAGCTCCGCACTAAAGAGTATGCGGAGCTACAGAACGAAAATTGATAACATTATAAAATACATGGTTACAGTAATAACTATGTATTATTTAAAATAGATCCAAATCAATACTTGAAATAGGGTAAACAAGTCGTGTTTTTATATGAACCAATATTTTATGAAGCGAGCTAAAAATAGTACAGGTGCACTGAAAACCGGTCAAGCGACACGGTTTCTTTCACGGTGAGCCGACGTCTATGTGATCGAGTCTACTGTGCATCGTTTACACACACGACGAGGATGAGAGCGGAGTGACCACTAAAGGAAATTATCGTTATCGTTTGGATTGTAAAACTATTCAATAAAATGAGGAAAATCTGGAATTTACGAGCAAGATGCCCGGATGCAGCATCATGAGCAGCAAGCAAAAATGGACGAAATTTGTGTATTGTAGCGAGAAATTAATCGGACTTTCCCCTCCAAATTAAGTCTACAATGGCCTCTCAAGGCCCAGGTAAGCAGTTTTCTTAGACAGATATTATAATTGTCTGTTGGAATGATGTGTATTTTTTCTTGTAAACGACATAATTGTCGTCTGCTGCTGTTGATCGAGCAACAGTCCAGTGCCACGATAAGAAGAAAAATTAAATATGGCTTCGTCTATCGTGAACAAAATTGTTGCTGAAGCAGAATTATGATGATGATGCCCGATTTCGATATTTTCGTATATTTGGTTTTCTCTGCATGCGTGTCAGAAAATAGTGCGCTGCTTTTCGATTTTCTTTTTTATTCTGTAAATTATGATTTTGGTAAATGCCATTTACTTAGTGAAAACTATACCCCGTTGAGAGACCGGTTGCAATAATGCGAGTGGAAATTCGTTAACAATACTATTTCGTCCTTCTGATCGCTACATATATATGTGTTGAGAGCATTTATCAAATTTGTCTATCTATTAACTTACATTCTTAACTCACCTGTAGTGCATAAATAATTTAATACAGGCTATGTAGTGTTTGCTATTTAAGCAATGTGGTATTTTCTCTCAAAATCGTATTTAGATATTACAGAAGTCATTTAACTTAAGATATGAAATAAACACTGCTTAAAAGTGAGCTCTCAAAATAACATTTTTTTGCTACTAGGCCAAGTGCTTTCTTCATTTTCACCTGAGACCTGAATAAGATGCATGCTAATAAATATAGATCATTTTGAACTGCTTAGGCCTTGTCTTATTTCATGCAAATTTGTGGTTTCACACAAGCCGTTTTATCATATCATATTATGTGCATGGAATGTAAACAAATGGTGTTCTTCATTGTTGTGGTAGTTGATTGTTATCCCTGTTAGTTTTAACTATATTTTTTTTCAAAATATTGACATCATATTTGAAATTATTGATTTCAATATTTAAATTTATATCAAGGATTGAGGGCTTGAAGTATATTTTAATTCCTTTGTAAAAGCTAAAAGGTTAATGTGTAGATCTATGTATTTTTCCAATAAATTATAATCACTAGGTCCAAGTTCTTAGTAGAAAGTTTTGATATCATAAACCTTTCACCAACATTTATCAAAATATTTATTCTTTATTTTGTCAATTCCACACTTGTGAAAATACATGGGTAAAAAAATGGATTTATGGAAAGAATATTTATAGAACACACTATTATAACACTTTCTATATCAAGTCTAAGATAACAGCAAATTGGAGATAAAGTAGACAGGGTATCAAGTTGTACTATATACATTGTTCTCCATATATTTTGTATTTCTTAACTTTTTGTTCAACATTAAGAAAATGCGTAAAGTAACAAACTCCTGGCTTTTTACTTATAATGCTATGACAACATTCAGTTGAGTATTCTATATGTGTTTGAAATGACAAAATTAACTTCTAGCCTGAAGGTTTATGTTGATTTGACAAACATTGAAATACCTGTGTCCAGGTGAACGGACATTGAGGGTGTATATAGTCCAGTCAGCTGGTTATAGGTTGGTGTTAGTTGTGGACCGTATACTGTTGTAAAGATATGTGTTGTGAAATCATATTTACGGTAGATATGTACAATGACTATACACTTTCTTATTGGTTATTTCTTCTATGATTGATATATTTACAGGTAATTTTCAAATTGCAAAGTCTACATATACAAGACTAAATACTGGATTTACACAAAGTAATGTAATACCAAAGATTTTGAGACTAGCTCATTTAAACAAACTGTTGATTTGAAAATATAATGCAACAATTGTTTTGTAATGTAGATCTCTGTACACATGTGCTGTAGTAGTTACATGTACATGTGATATGCTCATGTGTACAGTATTACAATACAAAGCTATGTAGCTAATTCTAGCTGTACATTGGGAACAAGAGATGGCCATGGGTATAGTCACAAATATTTGTGGTACACCCCTTGCTTCACACTGTCTGACATAAGGTGATGGGTAATGCATCCTCTTGGTATATTATTATCAGTCTATGTTCCCTAGTGCCAGGGGAGAGGGTGCCTTATGTAATTGAAGACAGACATGGGTTCATATTCCCTCTTGAGCTACTGTGCTGAAGAATGACATAGATATCCACTGTGTCTGTATTGACAACAGTTGTTGGTTTTGATTTCATATAATTAGTTATATGGATGTTGCCCTCGATTGCAATATTGATACCATATTTGATGTAATAAGGATGGTGGCTATGTAAGAGTAAACTACAAGAGACATTTTAAATATTTTCCCTGCTCAACGAATGGTATTTTTCACCAGGATAGAGAAATCATTCTTGTGCCTAAACGAAAAAGCAAGAAAGCACATGATAACATTGGTAACATACAGTCTATTAGCAGAATATGGTACATGGTAGCTTGATTTTCATTTAATATTGTCATCACATCATTGATACTAGAATTATAAATTGTTGTAGGGGACCCAGTGGGCCAATATTTCGTAAACATTATTGTACATGACTTACATTGTTAATAACAGATGTTTATATCAATGCACACTGGGGATTCTTAATAAGGAATTAACTCTATACTTATTGTACATGTTTGTAGTATACATGTTATATACTGATCCAGTGTGATCATCATACAAGAGATGGGAATCACTGTAGATGAAATTTATCAGTGATTTCTGTCATTGATTTACACTGTCTGCAATATGAATAGCATTGATTGTTGGTTGCACATACATACACCAGATTCATTAGGATAATTATATCATTTTCTATATTACATTATTGATTGATTTTTTCTAGGTTATACTGTCTGTGGCAAGATTATTTGAAAGTGAAATTATTATTATCATGAATTGCATATGATTATGCTCAGTGGTGTTTAGAAGACCTAACTGTTGTTGAAGGTTTACCTAGGTCTAGCTTTACAGTATATAGGTTTAAGTTTTAAATTCATATCTGGCTCATAATATTGTTGTACAATATAGAAAGATTGACCCAAAGAAAGATATTTAATTAGCGTGATATATATATATTCCTCTCAGAATATTGTATAGTTTGCTTTGATTTCTAAGGCTAGGTGATATTAATTATCAGTTTTTGCTTTAATTGCTGCAATGATGAAAGACTAGATTTTTTTTTCTTCAAGTTTCAGACAGTTTAATTACCAATGCAAAAAGTATGGTTTATGTTGTATGAAGTTATGTAATAATTCTTCATAAACAACCATATAAGCAAATTCTTTCTGTGTAGACATGTTGATGGTTGTATTTCATGGTTGTATGATATTCTATGAGATATTCAACTGATGTTCAATTCCAGCTCCTCCCATTTACATTTGTATTGCTATTTATAATAAATTTTAAACATTTTACAAAAATATTATTTTTGTTGTTGTGTTAAAGCCACAGCAGGATTTAATTCACTATATATTACTTCTTCTTTTGTGTTGTTCAAAAACAGCAAATGTGTTGTGATTTTCATGTCTCAAGTGTGATTTGCAACTCCCATTTGTAGTTCAGATTCCGCTGTCTAAATCATCACAAGATATCCTCAGTTACAAATGTCTCATGTTCTGATTAAAACTTGGCAAATTTTATACTTCTTATGAGTAATATATATGAATTCTTGATAATTAACAGTCTGCTAGTATATACATTGTACACACATGTATTATATATAGTTTGTATTTCCTTATAATTCCTCATAATTATAGGGTATGTAATATGTAACCCCTGTAGGTGTGAATTTTGCTGGATGCCAGTACATAGTGTTTGCTAACTAGCTTATATTATGTATCTGGTATGAGCTTGATGAATTTTACAGGTGTTGCAGGTTAAAATTTTGCCTTGGGCTACAGATATTAATATGTAATAGAAAGTAGACCACTTCTGAATTATAATGTTCTACACATGATCCAGGTACTATATAGAGTATACATGTGTATAGCTTCTAAGATTCAAATGGTACTTGTAATATACTGTATGTTGTGTTGAAAATCTGGTATTTTCACGATATGAATATTGTTCTCATGATGGTTACTTTATATATAGTGAGTTTTACCAAGTTAAAATAGTTAAATTGACTTAACTAAGTTGCAGGGTACAAAATAACCCCATTGTATTGATATTTATACTGTGGAAACATGGTATATATAAGTAATACTACTCAGGATTAGGATTTTTCACAAGCAGACTGCAACCTTGTGTGATATTTGGCCATCATATTGTTATGAGCAGAACCCTAAACATTGTCTTGAAGTTGTGTAAAAATACTTAAAACCCATGCAGTATCTCACTTTTACCGTAGGGTCATTCTGCTGAAGTCCTTATATTTATTATTTACATAGGATTCCACTCTAAATTAGCTGATTTTCTATTTGGTTAAGATGTCAGTTTGCAAAATTTATCTGCCTAAAGAAGGCAACACAAAGTTTTGAGTTTGATATTTTGAAATACTTCAAAATGAATAACACTTTCTTGTATTTTGATTAGTGTATTCAATGATTCAAGTGTGAGACACTATACACAGTGCAATAAATTAAAAA